AGAGCCTCATGTTTCTCCCATGGAACTGCTGGTAGTTTCCAACTGCTGACGGTAAGATTAGTAGTCCCAAATCATAATGGATTGACATAGTGGCTGCTGCAACAATAGCCTAAACATAGCAACTACTGAGGATGATACAGTACCAGGCACCCTAACAATTGATTTGCAGTGCAAGCTAAAAGGAGGAAAGAACAGAGTGTAGGGATATGGGGACTAATCATGCATGGGGAAGACTGTCCTGCGCCAGAATGACAGCTGTTCTGCAAACTGCAGCCAAGAAAAGCTCTATACATTCACAGTGTAGATCTCTTGACCTTTAAAGTCACCCCAAGCCCTCTAAAGCCAGAGCTGGTAAGAACGCCCAAGGGAGGATCTCCTGTTATTAACTTATAAAAGCTCAAGTGGGGAGTTTGGGAAAGTCCTACAAGTAACAAGTTTTTCTATGATCGTCTCAAAGGGTACAAGAACCAGTGGCAGAAGCTGGGCTCATTCAAGCAGCAAAATAAAAATGGTAGTAATGAATTATAGCCCCTAGTATGACACCTATAAGTGAATATATGAAGGGGGAGGGAAGGGCCTCCTGAGAGCAGGCCTCCAGCTCATACATGTAGCAGGAATGCTGGAATTAGAAAATCACCACTTTCAATCATTTTTTCAGGTCAAAATCATCAATGATGCTAAAATCTGTGGGCAGAAGTTATGAGGAAAACAAAATATTTATATGGTCTTAAAGTATCTTCTATGGAGTCCTGGTGTGGCGCTGTGGGCTAATGTGTCAGACTGCAAAGTCGTTTGACCTGCAAGGACGGTGGTTCAAGCTCGCCAGCTTCTCCTTGGAAACCCTATACAGGGTCACTATGGGTCGGAATCGACTCAACGGCACTTCACAACAACAAAAGCATCTTCTAGAGTCCTGGTGTTGTGCTACAGGATGTTGTTAGCACTGGATGCTAACAACAAAGTCAGTGGTTCAAATCCACCAGCCTCTTCTGGGAAGCCCTATACAGTGTTGCTGAGTCAGAAACAACTTGACAGCACTGAACAACAATAAAAGAATCTCCTCCAAAAGATTATTAATTACAAAGGGGAAAACTAACTTTTTAGTTAGACACCGTCTTCACTACCACCACTAATAGGGCAAATTGACATTGCACACCTCCTAATAAGAAGCACCTGACTTCTGTTGTACTCCTGCTCCAAACACCTGACTTGCATCTAATCTCGAGGCAATGTCCGACAAACCCAAATTAAAGAACTCTACAAAACTGGTTTGCACTCTTCAAGGCCAAGAAAAATAAAGACAGAGAAACTATCCCAGACGAAAAGAAACATTGAGGCTGAACAGACATTACTAGTAAAGGTAACGGGTGACTAGAGTAGATCCTAGACTAGAAAAGCACACTATTGGGAAAATTGGCAATATTTGAGTAAGATCAATAGATGATAGTATTAAATCAATGTTAACTTCCTGAGCTTGATCATTATATTTGCACATGTTAGAGGCTATACACTTAAGTATTTATAAGAAAGGGCGCCGGGACTGCAATCTGCACACATGTAGAAAGAGACAATAATAAAACAACAGTGGTAAAAGGTTAAAATTTATAGGAAAATAGAATGAACGTTATAAGGAATTCCTTGCACCATTTTTTTAAGTCTGAAATTATTTCAAAATGAAATTTAAAAAAAAGTTTACTGTAGTTTCTTTCAACCTATTTTCCTGCTTAAACAATGTGCTCCAGGGTCTACAAGATAAAAGTCCAAATATCTTAATCTGGCATCCACAAGTCTCTGACGATGCTAATAGTATGTAACATTTATTGAACATTTACTACATGCCTGTCACTGTGCTAAGTGCATTACATGTTATATCACATCTGGATATGATAGTAAGTTCCACTGTTGTTATGTGCCGTGGAGTCAGTTCCGACTCATAGCAACCGTGACCTATATAGGGTTTCCAAGGCTGTAAATCTTTACAGGAGCAGAAAGCCTCATCTTTCCCCCACTGAATAGCTGGCAGTTTCGAACTGCTGACCATGAGATTAAGCAGCTCGATTCGTAACCACTATGCTACCAGAGCTCCTTAAGTTTCACCACTAACTCTAAATATGTCTAACTGGAAGCACAGAGTGATTATTGTGTGCAAGATCACACAACTAATAGGGAGAGGAGCTAAACATTGAACCCAGACAGTCTAACCTCAAGGTGCAGTCTCTAATCCATTGCTCCAGCCAAATAGGCCAAGTTGTCTCCCAGGGCATGCCTTCAGATCTCTTATTCTGCCTCCACTAAATAGCCTCTACCGTCTTGTCCTTTTAAATCCTGCTGTGGCTGTAGGTTAAGTACTGGACCACAAGATTGGTTTGAACCACAAGGTTGGTGGTTCAAACTCACCAGCTGTTCCTTGGAAACCCTAAACAGGTTCACTATGAGTCAGAACCAACTCCATGGCACTTAACATATCTAAACATAAGGCATTTCCTACCCTTCTCTCTCTAGGCAAAAACCTATCATTAAACCCTCATGAGATTATATGCACCTGGCATTTACAACCATTTTCAAGTAAACTGAAAAGCTCATTTGCTGGCTCTTGACTCCAATTCTGTGTGTAAAATAATTATCAGAAGGGGTTAAGACCTTGGCTAACCAATTTCAACATGGCTTTTTTGCTCATCTGATATGCTGCAATAATTCCTGCTAAGTGAATAAAATTTATTTTAAAAGGTCCAAGGAACACAATTTGGGCAGAAAACTAATTTAAAGTAAAGTAGAAGGGGGAACCTCACAGTAGCGTAGATTGGAGATATGCCTATGCTCTTTATGACAAGAGTGATGTTGGAACATTATAATTAATGTCACCAAACTACATGTGAAGATTGCTGAAATGCCACATTTTTGTTACATATTCACGATATCTATCAATTTATAAAATTGTTTCAAGGACTCCAACAAATTTTAACGTACAAATTTCTGACCTACCAGGTCTCACAAAATACAAGATAGAAAAATGTGCTCAAATGACAACATAAGGTTATAAACAGCAAATCCAGAGTTATGTAAATTCCTCAAATAAAGGCTCAATTTCTTTAATTACAAGGAATAATTTATGATGAAAAATTTATCAGCCAAATGCAACATACATACACACCTTGTTTTGAACGAATTATAGAAACCCATGATTAGCACTACGGGAACTCTGGGCGATGGTTGGCTAGTCTGGCTTCGTTGACTTTATAAATGTAAATACTATGGTTGCTTAAGGAGTCCTCGTGGCATAGTGGATTATACCAGATGAGGCTTTCTGCTCCCATAGAATTTACAGCCTCAGAACCAACTCAGTGGCCATTACAGCATTATGGTTGCTTTAAAAATCCTGTTATTTTGTACTGGGGCAGTTGGGGATAAAATAATTTATCTAGAATTTTCTTATAAATTATAAGGGTGGGGGGTGTGGAGTGCAGTGGAGTGGGGAATGTTGTGTCGCTGAGTTGATTCTGACTCATATTGACCCTGTATAGGGTTTTCCCAATAGTAATGAGTTTGAATTGCCAACTTTGCAGTTCAAACCAGCCTTGCAGTCAAGTGCTTATCTTACAGTGCCACAGGACTGGGTACAAATAAAAAACACGGTTTGCTACTTACTTTTCTAATCACGTTTAAGACTGTCTCTAAACTTTTTCTCCTAAAAAAGGTTTTTTAAAATTGCCAACTTATTTTGACAATATAGAAAACATTAATCACAACTATTTTTAAGGACACACCACCACAAAACTAGGACTGACAATCTCATCATTTATACAAATATGAAGCTCTCATTGTTACTGTTCACATCTCACTGAGGATCTCTATTAAACTTATTCTATGTGCCAGTACAACGGAACCACTGATGTGGCATAAAATCACAATTGTAAGGGTTAGATTCAAATTTAAGTACCTATGTGGTCCTGGAGCTCTGGTAGCATAGTGGTTACGAATCGGGGTGTGAACCTTAAGATCAGCAGTTCGAAACTATCAGCTGTTCTGCAGAAGATGGGGCTTTCTGCTCCCATAAAGATTTACAGCCTCGGGAACCCTGTGCAGGGTCACTATGAGTCAGAACCGACTCGTCAGCACGTAGCCAACAGTCACCACTTTTTACTAGTTGAGTGTACCTGCAACTTTCCTTTGGAGGCCTTTTAATCTTGAATGACAGTATCTTCATCTTTTTGAGTATATCTGATTTGTATGAAGCAGCCACAAATGCATGGAGCTAGGTCTAACTGACAATCATGGTAGATAAAGCAAAAACCTAATGGAAAATTAATGTAACATATTTCAATTGTGATTAACATATTTAATTCATTTCAACTGTTCAGAAAATTTTCCTATGTGAATTGGAAAAATAATCATTTAGATATAAGTCCTGGGCTTTTTCATCGAAAGTTCATTTCTCTGAGATCAGAGGCCTCATCAGAGGCCTCATCTTACTGGTAAATTCTCCCAGTGTAGACAGTTGTTAAGTGCTGTCGAGTCAGTTCCAACCCATAGCCACCCTGAATAGGATTTTCAAGAAGCAGCTGGTGAACTTGAACCGCTGACACCTCGCAGTTCAAACGGCTTTGCAGTCTGGTGCATTAACCCACAGCGTGACACCAGAACTCCAGTGTAGAGTGGAGGAGTATTACTATCTCAACAGTTGGACCTCTCAACTGGCATTTCAGGTGTACTCTGATCAGAGTAGACTCACTTCAGAGGTAGCACTTAGCATTCATCTGCAAATCAGATTTCAAGCTACATGCATGGACTACTACTTGCTTGCTTTTTCCATAGTGAAGACTGTTAATAATAGTTCACAATACAGATAGGATGTATTTCAACTATCTGAAACTATATATACAATTGAATAAAAGAACATAAGTTATTTGTTGTCAGAAAACCAGTACAGCCATTTTACTATCAAAATTTTATCTTTTTAATAATTTATTTAAATAAGATATTTGAAGCAATTTTTTTAAAAAAACAAACAAGATTTGTATTTTATTTCCTTGTAAAAATCTTTACACATGCAGACAAACCCAGTGTTTTAAGAAAGTATTCACCATCATTTAAACAAATAAACACTTAAATAGAACAGTGTCTGCAATTTTATCTGTATAAAAATAAGATACATTTTTACAGAATTTACGCTCCAGTTCTTATAGCAATAAACAATACACAACTATAAGTACAACTGAACCTGACCATGGTTTCCAATTAGATACTGCTAGGGCATTTTAATGTGCAAAAATTTAACATAGTTCTTTTCAAAATAAAAATGTCCTCAGTGTTTCTAGAGACCTAGAGGGTTTTAATAAATCAAATCCTAATCAGTCTGCTTTTAATGTTTTGATTGATTATGAGTCCACACACCACACCGTAGATGGGCAAAACCAAGACTTAATGCTGGCTCGAAGGAAAAAGTCAGCGCCTGTGCCTGCCATGTCCTGAGCGACTGCCACCATGGTGCTTGCCTTTATGGGACCTCTCAAAGGAACGAGATCTTTCACGCCTGTCCCTATGATGTCCCCTTTCATGTCTGTGCTTCTTGGCAGCATCGGAGTGATCCCGAGACTTGCTCTGAGATCGAGAACGAGATTTTTTCCTTTTATGACCATGTCTATTTGAACTTTTTAAATCATCTCTGGCATGCTTGGCCTTAAGGTGAGGTGACCCATGATTATGATGTCTTCGAGGGCTTTCACTGTGACTGCGGGACCTGCTTCTTGATCTTGAGCTGTAAGTTCCAGACCGACTCCGCCTGTTATTGTAACTTAGATAAAAATGGGAGCTTTAGATTCAGTTTGTACTGGCAACAGATTATTCTGGTGGTTGCTCATAACAGGTTCAAAATAAAACTATAGAATAGTTTGACCCTATCAACTGACAGGCCAAAACTAAAGACATTTTTCTAAATTTCCCCACCCTTCGTTAACCTACCCAAGCCTGTAACATTTAATGACTCTTAAGACAAGCATACACATTTATATAGGAGGCAATAATCAGCAATTTCTACAAACCATCCCAAAACTTATTGATTATTTATCATGTGCTCAAGTCATTTAAGAGCCAGAAGGAGCTAGCAGTCCCAAAACTGGTAGTCTGAACTCACACACCACAGCACACTCCCAAACTCTTTTTTCCTGATTTGCTTATGTTGACTGCCTGAAACTAACCTAATGATGGGAACACTCTAAGTATTTTGAGGTAATAAATACCTGGTTGTACACACACATACAAACACACATACTTACTGTCTTCTTGGCGTATGTGATCTAGAACGTGATCGTGTTCTTGACCTGGATCGACTTGCACTTCTACTATTTCTACTTCTCTTGCTGTCTTTTCTTACACTTCACAAAATCAGAAAATTATAATTATACACTCAGTGTGGGAAACTAAACACATAAAACAAAAGGCTCCTCAGAGTAGTATTATAACTCACCCATTGTAGGGACTTTTGGAAGCCTGTTGTCTATCCTCAGGTTCTTTTTTGACTGTCTTCACAGTAATGGAGACTGGTGACTTTTCCTCAGCTTTTACTTCTCTTGGTGATGCTTTAAAATACACATATATTAGATTAACAACAACCACGATAAAAAAGTCAAACCCCAAATCTGTTGCCACTGAGTCAATTCTAACTCATGGTGATCCCATGTGCTACAGAGATGAACCGTTTCACAGCCTCTTATCATTAAGGAAGCAAATCCAGACCTTTTACGCCAAAAATGGTTACAAAACATAACTCAGACTTTCCAAGTTTCAGGCTTCAGTTGACTTGTCATGAGAGAAAACAGTAACAGTTTAACATCATTGTTTCCACAGAATCATCAAATGTTAAAGCTTTCTAAGCATACACTTTCAGTGACCCTCAAGTCATTCCAATTATAAATCAATCTTACATGGCTTTGAAGCTGGAGAAAATCCACCAAGAGTTGAAAGGGCTGGAGTTCCATCAGGATTCAATCCCTTTGCTTTTAATTTGGCTTCTTGTAAGGCTACTTTTCTTTTTTCTACTTCTTTTTCTAGCATTTCATAATTTGGCTGTTGAAGGAAAATAGAGTTAACGTTTTCCCTTCATAGAAGTTTAGATTCTAAGAACTAAAGAATATTAACTAACACACACACACACAAAACACCCACTGACAGCAAGCAGATTCTGACTCACAGCAACACTACAGGAGAGAGTAGAACTGCTCTCCGTGTCAGGGTTTTTTCTGAGTCTCTCAATCTTGGCAGGAGCAAACAGCCTCCTCTTTCTCCTATGGAGGGTCTGGTGGGTTGGAGCTGCTGCTATGTTGTGATTAGCAGCCCAATTCATTACCCACTACACCATCAAGGCTCTTTAGCACAAACGCAAGTGAATAAAAATGACCTTTTTTCTGGTATAAAGCCGAAGCGTCTCTATGCAGATTTCCTGGATCTCCTCTTCTGTAGTACCAAAAAGAAGAAACCAGTGGGGACGAGTTGGCAGTGGAATCTAAATCACAAAAAACAGTAGTTTAGAAGAAATGTTCTCGGATTCTTGCCAGAACTATTAATTCTCATGACTTATCCTATAGGACAAAATCAGCTACACACATACCTGAAGAGCTCTAGCTGCAAGGTAGATGCAAGCACATGCTATAGTCTCTGGTTGAAATCGAACAAAAACATTGGTTCGAAGGCTGTCATTCATATAATTCCTGGAAAACATTTCAACTATAAGCTTTATACATAAATAAACCAGTTCTTATGAAGCTTACATATTGGAGACTCAATCTACTTTATTCTTTTTTCTTCTCATGTTTCTATTCACATCCTCATAGTCTAGCACAACAATTCTTAGCTCAAAAATCAATTAAGAGGTTAAAATTTAATACTAGAACTATTCTTAAAGCTTCCCAGTATCACAAAAGCCTTTAAAAACAAGCAAAAAACCCTTATTACTATTCCAAACAGAACTTACTTCTAAAGTAAGCACTTTCAGATAGCTCTGCCATAACTAGATTCAGAAAAATGATAAACCGCTCCAACAATACTTCAAGCCGTTAATCATTGACCATCTCTCCTTTATCCATAATGAAAAGCAGTGTCACCAAGTTCGTTCAAATACTCAAAATATGACAGGGGTAAAAGGTATTTTCAGTTAAGCATCCACCAATTTACACTTACATTAAGGAAACTAAGCTGATTCAGTAAATCTAGGTAGGGAAGCAAAGAGCTATACATAGAGGCCTTATTTACATACTTTTTTTTTTTTGTACAAATAAGTGATAAAGCTGTTTCAGTTACTAAACTGCTGGAGACTTTATACAAATCCAGCAACATTCCTAAATGACTTATAATACTTTATAAGTCATTTTCATGTTAGAATGTTAAAATTGAATAGTCTTAAAAAAAAAATCCATCACCTATGAAAATTGCAAAAATATATTAAATAGAACATTTAAAATGTCATGCATGTTTTTTCAAAGCAATGTAAGACTTTGCTAATAGTTCAAATATTTAGTAAATCTAAAAAAGCATGGCAGTTATTAAAGGGGCATCTGCTTGAGAAGAACACAAAAATGATGTCAAGTCAGTCCCCCACACCATCAACAGTAATTGTGGCTAGACAACAAACTCCGTGTTGTGTCTGTAAATAAGCCACATTATCTCTATCTCAATCATGTAAATTCTAGTGTTTAAATAATATTAACATCTTTTACAACTGAAGTACTTCTTATTTCTATTGCCTAAAATAACCTAGCAGCTATAAATTCATATAGTATGCCAATTATAAACTGTTAAGTTATTGTTTCCTTGGTAGAATACATACTGTACATACCAAAAATAGAAATGTAGTTAAACACCTAATTAGGAAAAAAAAAAACAAAACATTTCATTCATATAATGGCTGAACAACAAATCTATCAAAAATGAACTAATCATTTTGATAGTTACAGGAATACATTAAATACATAGGCATGTTGAATAGTTACTTCTAGAAGCAAATATACAAATCCTTTTGAACACCCCGACAGAACTAGAAGATGCTGCCAGATGGATATGGACCACTTCAGTGAATCTCGGATGAGAGCTTGCACTGGATTGGCTGGAGAGCAGGGCAGCCAATCAGGCCATCCTGAGGTCATGGGTTGAAGTGCAGAGGGCAGAGTTCTATGACTTACCATCATGGACTACCCTTTAATTAAAGAGTAGAAAAAAGAACAAAGTTAAATTGAGTTCTCCATTCAAAGTTATTAGTCAAGCCAAGAAAACAGGAAGCAGAAATAAGCATTTACCTTTTGGTTAAAAAACAAAAAAACAACAACAAAAAGCCCCACAATAAACATCTCATTTCGAAAAGAGAAAATGAAACTTACTTTATTTCTGCTTCTGTTTTCCTGGCTAGGAAATAAATGAGAAAAATCAACTTACCAGGCAGTTTGAACCAGGGTTTGATTACGTTCACATTCTAAGACTTGTAAATACATAACAATGATCTGAAGGACAGAAAAAAAAAAAAAAGCAAATTTAGCATATTGGTGGTTCTTTCAAAGCAGAGGTCAGTGAATATAAACTGCATAAATATAGGACCAACCTGAAATATAACAGATTCAATGTAGGTTAAGTTGATTGCTAAATTTCATAAAAATTTTGTTTAGAAGTACTAAAATGTTAAAAAAAATAAGTGGCCAATGTTGTGCTAAGCAATTTACTCGTATTAATTCTAAATTCCCAAAATATATTCTCCAAATACCCTAGAAGTCCAAATACCCTAGAAGCCAGAATGTGCACAACCGATACAACTCAAACTGTGTAATTCTCAGACATGGATGTTACAGTAAGCAATCACACTAACATTTTTGCATTGAAAAAGCACATGAAAGTATAAGTAAAAACTATATTTAAAAAGGAATCCTGGTGTGGCACTATGAGTTAATGTGCTGGACTGTAAATTCAGTTTGAACCACAAGGTAGGGAGTTCAAGCTCACCAGCCACTCCTTGGAAAGCCTATATAGGGCCGCTATGGGTTGGAACCTACTCAACAGCACTTTACAACATTATTTTAAAAAGTTATCTGCCAAAGTCAGACAGCAAGTTTCTATCTCAAGTCCTGACAACAGATATTGCTGTAACTATTACCTACAGTGGTTCCAATAAAGCTAAAAAACTTAGAACAAGGAGTTTTAATCTCTCATTTTCTAGGTGAAGAAACTTGAGCTTAGCCACAGAGGCAAAAGAGTTTATCTACAGTGACAGTTATGACTTGAACCTATAGGTCTTTGTTTACTTCTTATGTATTTTTAAGGAGCTCTGGTAGCTTGGTTACGAGTCGGGTTGCCAACCACAAGGTCAGCAGTTCAAAACTACTAGCAGTTCCATGGGAGAAAGATGAGGCTTTCTGCTCCTGTAAAGATTTACAGCCTCGGAAACCCTGTGCTGGGTCACTTTGAGTTGGAACCGACTCCATGGTATTTAACAATATATTTATGAATATTAATATCCAAAAGAATGTTTAAAATTCAGGTTAACTTTCTTAACATAAATATCAATTCATAAAAATAACCCCCCCAAAAAAACCCCGAATACTTACGAATGCAATTCCTGTAATCTACAACTCACCTTATGGGGATGCTTGACATGAACACAAAATCCCAACTCCTTTAGCACCCTCCTCTCTGCCTTGATAACTTGATTTTTGGTGTTTATGTAGTTCTGATCAAGGATCAGAGGGCTTGGAGTCCTATAGTTTGTAAGAAATAAAATCAAAACTGTTTTGCACATCCAAAAAATTTTATTTGTGGCATCTCCATTTTCCCTTCCAACCAACTATTGGCAACAGAAACCAGCTTTTGAAACTCCTGCAAACAAGTTAAAGCATTAATCTTGTGCTGTCCAAGTTATGCTAATTACATATACATTTAGATTAAGTTCCTAAAGGAACTAACTCAACACTGCAATGGAAAAACAAACCACCACTCTAAGCCACATGATCTGCACAGATTTCCTCATACCAATTAGGTTTAGAATAGTGTGTGTGTGTATATATATGCATGCACACACACATGAACTTAGGTGACTTGATTGATTTACTATTAGTACAAACTCCATTAGTCTCCATAACAGTAATAAGACCTTTTCCACCACTGACAAAAGTAATATGCTTTTGAAAAACACAGTACTAGTAAAATCCCCTAAAGTTACAATGATCTTACTCATTTTATAAATTATCAACTCTATGGGAACAAATAAAAATTAGTGAGAGGGAAAAAAAAAGTAGTTATTTTATTGTAGCCTACACGTTGACAATTTAAACAAAAATCTACTTATATTTTGTTTTAAAAAATTCAAAACTAAAAATTTGGCTCAGTTGCCAAAGAAAAAGAGGAGAAATATTTCAAGATTCAAAACTCAAAGGGATCTATGTAAAAAGGGATTGAAAAAGAAAGAACAGGTCCCATGTGGTCATGTTATGTAATTAGAACCAGCCCAAGCTGTAGTTATTAGGCAATACTATTAGACAATACATTTTAGTCTGCACTGCAAAAGAGAAGGAAAGATCACAGACCTGGAACATACTCAAAGTCTCTGTTAACAGACTACATTTTTGACAATTCCTATGATACAGAAAGGCCATGTGTATGTCAGTGGCTAAATGCTTAGAAAATAGCACTGATGCCTTGCCTTTAAAGGATTGTTTTGTTTTTCACAGAGAAAAACCTACACACAGTAAAAGACTATTTTAAGCCTTACAATTAAAACTGGTGTCCTGAGAAGTTTGTATTTAGGTTAAAATTGTTAAGGAAGTGAACCTATCATTTTCTAAACAGTCTATGTTAATTGGCCATATCTCTTTTAGAAACAAACATTAAAGAAACACTGCCATTGAGTTAAATACAACTCAAAGTAACTCTACAGGACAATACAAGATCCTCTATAGGGTTTCTAAGGCTGCCAATCTTTAAGAAGTGGATCACCACATCAGTGGGTTAGATAAGCAGTCTAAGCACTGTGCCACCTATTCTCAGGACTCTGGGCACTGACTGATTATATATAACAAATTTGTGGGTTGGTAGGTCAGTTTTGATTTGTAGGGACCCTGATGGACTTGAACTGCCAACTAAGTAGATAGCAGTCTAGCGCTTATCCTACAGCATCACACCAGGACTCCTCCATACTCTATTTTAGCCAAAGACTCATTAAGTTTTTACGCTGAGGCAGAATCTCAACATTGCTTCTTAAAGATAATCACAAATAAAAGTTTCCATTTCAACATACTAATAAGATCCAGAAAGAAGCAATTTCAAAAAATATCTACTTAAAGACTTGTAAGTAAATAAATAGCCTATGTTAATGAACCCTATGGAGTGTTTTTAAAAAAGCATCTTACTTTATTTTCATTAAAACTTAGAATGCTTATACTGCTTCAAAACATTCTGACATGTACTGTATCAAGGACTAAGCTTGGTAGAGCTTACAAAATGAAAACATAGCTGTTACAAAGCTGAAAATGGCCTTACTCAGTTCAACTCATAGCTACCACACTTAAGAAGGTGCAAGGAATGAGGCCACCAATTTAGATGGACTTTTTACAAAAACACAATAATGAATCAGTTTTATTAGACAAGGATAAGTTAGTAGCTTTTTGGAGAATAACAAAGTTAACAAAAAACGAATCAAATTTAACTCTCAATTAAATGCAGTTATGTGCATATGTGTTGAGTGCTATTGAATTAGTATATGTGTATATATATATGTATTAAGTGCCATTGAGTTGGTTCCGAGGGAACAGCTGGTGAACTTGCAGTCTGGCACATTAACCCACAGCGCCACAACAGGGCTGCGTACAAATAAGGAAGTATGTATACACGCTATATAAACACTTATTCAAAAGATCTTACACACTTTCATGGTTTTGTCACTACAGGAGGCTTTGGGGGGGGGGGGGGGGGGGAAGGAGACAGAAACACATCCATCTCAGATTCTTAACTGATGGACCTGCTAGAAGGAATACCTCTTGGGGGACAGCTGTGTCACTCATCTCTTGCCCCTACACCTAGGGGGCAACTAACTACAGCATTATTGTTGAAATGCAGCTATCTCACTGTTTTCATTTTCCATGGATAGCTCTAAGCAGTTTATTTGAAAAGAATTGCTTTCAAATACTGATAAGATTCATTTTCTCTTCAAGTTAATTAGCTGAATGCTTGCCTGAATTCTGGCTAAGATGTGGTGCCAAATCAGGCTTAATAACTGCGCTTAAACGAACTATTATTTTCCATCTATGCTACCATAATCCTTTTTCTTTATTGTTTCATGAAAATCCCAATAACATCAAAACAAGTCATGCAAACCAAACTCATTAATTTACTATAATTCAATTAGCACACTCAACTTTTTGTTTAGGCTTGCTATTACTTGCAGAAAAGTTAACTTTGTGGTTTTACTTTATGCAACTGGTTTTACCTCCCAAATCAGTAACTACAAAATGAATACATAATTTATAACTACCTTATACTAAAAATGTGTATAGGAAGAGACTACTCTTCACTGAAATTAACAAAGCATCAATTAGTACTTTCTGTGATATATAACAAGCACATTAAATGGAATTAAAGCTTGCTTGAATTTCTTCCTCCTCAATCAAGTTCTCCTACAAACCAGCAGAAGTATCCACAAGTTGCATTTAAAAATCTCTTTTGCTAAAAAGAAACTATCTATTCAGAGAAACATAAAAATAATTATTATTATCAACAAACTCACAAACACCCCTCTAGCCCTAACTCCCCGGCTTTAAGCTTCTAATGTCATGTTTTTTAGGTAAACTTGGGTGACAAAATCAACTTTCAAATTTTAATAGGACACTCTGACATTTGGTAATTTATCATCTTTCTTCTTGGAATTGTTTTTCCTGTAGTAGGATTAATTTAACTGAAATACAATTTAACAAAAATAAATAAATAAAACAGAAGTAGGAGGCTCTAACACGAATATTATCATTCATGTGGTACACATATTGTGAAACTTTGACACAAATTCCAAGAAACGAAACTACCAGTAACCTAGTCAATGTCAACTTCGGGAGACCAATACTCAAGACAGAGGACTGCTCAATAAAATATACATACATACATACCATACATACGTGTGTGTTGTGTGTGTGTGTATATATATCCCCCCCCCAATCTTGTAATGCCCACTTCAAAGAAAGTAAGAATATTTTTTCTTTAGAGATTATCTGTGTAAGCTGAATGTCAACTATAACCCACTGTCATCTGGCTGATTCTTATGCATAATGAACCTGCATAGGGTTCTTAATGGGAGCAGACAGTCTCATCTTTCTCCTGAGAATCAGCTGGTGGGTTTCAACTAGTAACTTTCTGGTTAGCAATCCAGTGACTGCGCCACAGAAATAAACTGCACAGGAGGTTGGACTAAATGGCAAGATCACTTAAGATGCTTCCAACCAAATCAAATCCATTCACATCTTGAAAATATACCATATTAAAAATATCAGTAACAAGTTGAACCAGTCTGAAAAATTTCATAGATTATCCCGAGTCTTTGAGTATATATATATATATATATACTCCTTAAAACTATAGGAAGCTTAATTTATTTGGACTTGTTAAGTACTGTGGAGTCGGTTCTGACGCAGTGACTGACCCCTGCACAGGGTTTCCGAGGCTGCAGATCTTTACAGGAGCAAAAAGCCTCTTTCTCCTGCGAAACAGCTCATAGTTTTGAACTGCCGACCTTGAGGTTAGCAGACTGATTCATAACCACAGTTGGCAATTACTGCTATGAAAAAGTATTCTTCCTCTTTGAAATGTTTCAGCCATATATTTTGAGTCAAACTACAGAAAGCGGAAGGGGAAAAAGCCAAGTAACCCAAGATGGGACCTGGGCACCTTTAAAGCTCTTCTTCATTCTAATGTGCAGCAGAGCTAAAAATCAGTGGCCTAATACTATAATACATGATGCTTCTAATCATTATCAAGGTCACATTACACTTAGATATGTTATGTGCCATGGAGTCTAGTGTATGCCTAAGTATCTCTAAGACAAACTAACATACTTTACTTAACTAAAATACAACATTAAAAGTACTATCTTTAAAAACATTAACCTATGCAAAAATATCAAGCTACAGTTCTAATAACTTGGACAGCAAAGACAAAAGCTTATAACAAGAAACAGGAGTTTTTCTAAATGGTTCACCAGTGGCCAACCTGTTAGTCCCCGATTCCAGTGACCTATTCTCAGAGCACTGGCTTCTCCTTGGGGATTTTCGATACTTCACTCACTGTTGCCATGACGACAGCTTCATCTCTATGTACCACTCCACATCACCCAGGCTTTGGTAAATGTAGCTGGTCGCTGTATAGTCGGTTGCAAGGGAAAAAAGAGTTGAAGTTAATAACATATACAGATTATATGTCTGAGTAAACTTGTAAAATGCATAGAAACACTTTTACATCCTGCTTTTTTTTTTTTTTTTAAAAAAAAGGCTTCCATGCAATTAACAACTCCTTTTAAATTTCATGCTATAATCACACTTTTTAGACTGAGACAAAATAATTTTCTCTGTAATGACAAAAAAAAAAAAAAAAAAAAACCACTGTAACATCAGACACAACAGTTAGATGGGATATTTTAAATTCCAAGGTTTTTATAGTTATGAAGACCTAATTTGACATCAAGGAAGAAAATTCTAAGTCTCACAGAAAAAGTTCAAACAAATTAATGATATGTAATTACATAATAGTTGGCTCAACAGCTCAAAGAACACCACCAGAAAACTATTTCCTTTAAGCAAACAGAATCTTTTGATTAAAAATAGAGAGCCTTTATTAGACAACCATTTGAATAGTAAACTGATGTCTAAATACAAGAATATAAGCTCAAACCATACTCAATAATTACTCTCTGGGTAAGGTTAAAGTGAATGGGAAAAGATGGGGCGGGGAGAAATCGTAAGAAAAACACCATGAAAAAGATTTGAACAGCAATGTTTCAGGACTTTCTGATTAGGCTATATCATTTTAAGGATATTTTACCATCAGGTTGCCTCTGAATTAATTCCACTATTGACAACTTTAAAGATTCAGCCAAGAGTAAGTACCTACGATGTGGAGCATTGATTTGGCACTAACCAACACCCAAACCCCAACACAACTTAAAATCATTTCCAACAACTTCCTTCCAAACTCAGTAAAGTTTGTCTACCACCACAATTCCTTAAAAAGAAACACAACTCATCTAGACCAAGTAGATCCTTCTGCAGGATGTATCAGAAAACACTGTAACAGAGTTGCAGGAAGACATACAGCTGAAACTTTGTAAGTTATTTTCTCTCACAAGAAAACATAGGTTCTCACATCGTTAAGCAAATACTGTTTCTTATCTGTATCTCCTAACAAGATGGGATAAATGGGCCTCATCTAAATGCAGTCCAATCAACCCACTCACTGAGACTATATCTGACCAATACAAAATACCTGTTTAATCCCTTTGACTTCAAACTTCAAACTTTATCATCCTGCAGTCCTTTCAGATCCGGTATTATTCGATATATCGTAGTTCAATGTTGAGAAGTATTCTAACAAAAGCCAACCTCAATTGATAAAGAATTAACTGGGACTTCAAACAGAAAAACAATCTACAGAGAACTTTGCCACAATATTAACTTGAACTACTTTGTTTAAACTTCCAACTTTCAGTCTTCCAGAGATAAGAGGAAAAAATAACTTACAAAAATACACTCACACTTGAGCCCAATGTATTCTCATTCCCTTTCTTGTTTAATCTTAAACCACAGGACTGGCTTCACAGCACCTTTAGGGATCCATAAATGCAACTGCCTCTACAAACTTTAGATAACTGGTTAATTATAGTTTTTCCAAATTAAGTTTATGTATTGGTATGCTCCTATGTGAATTTTTAAACCTAAAATTAAAGTCAGTTTTCATTTGCATCCATATTAGCTTCAGAAGAAAGAACGTTTTGATTTGATGATTGGTGCACAGTACAGAATAAGAGATACTATGTTCAATAATGCCATTCTTACCTTTTTCCTCTTAACTGGCGTAGATGGTGAAATACATTAATCACATCTCTTATTCTTCTTGGTGCTTCTTCAATTTTTGATGCAAGATTAATACACGCCATGGCAACAATCTGCAAATAAAAAACCCTTGTTGTTGTTAGGTGCCATCGGGTCGGTACCGACCCATAGTGACTAAGTCAACAGAAGTAACTGCTAGCTAAAACTGATGTATGATCCAGTAAAGCTGGGAAAAAACAAAGTGCCTCACTCAAAATATAACAAACATATTTCAACGAAGAAACTTTAGGGCACAACTGAGACAACCCTTGGAGAATAAAATTAGAAGACACTACTAGTTCCTAAACTTATCCTAGCATGTTTGTTTTTAATTGTTCAATTTCTCATTTCAGAGTTAGAGTAAAGCTCAATTTCGCTGGAATTTTACTTTGGTTGAAAATCGTAATTCTTGATTCAATTAGGCATCTGGGCTGGAAATCAACCGCACTTTTTAAAACTCACTCCAAGGGTTCCCCCCTCCCGCCGGGTCTAGGTGGTTAGGTACAAAGGCCTGATAACCACTCCCTTTCGGGTAAAGCTGGCGGCCGGTACCATCACCCCCCTTCCCATTTCCGGAGGAAGAAATCCCCTCTTAACCCTTTGTGCTTACCTCAAAACTGTGTTTGACGAAGGATTTGGAGTAGAAAAAACGATGAAACAACACCTGCCCCGTAGCCATCGCCACCTGCAGACAAGAGAAGAGAACGAGGCCAGGGGTCAGGCGGGCCGGCATCAGGCGCCGCCGCCATTTTGTGCCGCCGCCGCTCGCCTCCCCCGCCCGCGAGCAGCCCGCTCCCCGGGCCTCCCTCGCTGCCCTCCAGTCGCCTCCATGGCTAGAGAGCCCCGGGAGTCCGGGCCACCGGAGGTACGACGGGGAACGAGAGGGCCAGGAGAGGCGAGCCCGGCCGACCCCGGGGCCGCAGCACTCACCTGCGGCAGCCGAAGGAGGATGCCGGCGGCCTGGATGAGCTCACAGCCCAGGATGCGCAAGTCCGTCTCGCTGGGCAGGTCAAGCCCATCCTGCATGGATGGGGTGGGCGAGAGCCGCTCCTCCGGGATAAGCGAGTGATCTATAGTAAGCGAAACTTCCGAGTACAGGCGGTCGCCGATCAGGATCCCTCCCGTCGTGGTTGTCGTCGTGGTAGTCGTCCCGCAGCTGGAGCCGCCCGCGCTCGGAGCAGCCGACGAGGCGGCGGCAGCAGCGGCTGTAGCGGCCGCGGTCGGGTGAGGCCCGGACGCCATAGTCTCAGCGAGCCACACGCACGCCCAACGCAGCCGGAACCCAGAACCAGACTAACCAGCGTCCTCGGCGCGACGGATATTCCGGTGACCGCCGTGTTCTAAGACGCTTCACGCAGCGTGCGCTTCCGCCCTGACGTCACCACGCCCGGTGACGCACGCCAACTAGTCCCTACTAGGGCGGGGCAAAATAAAGCCAGGGCCATGACCTGACGGGGAGAGATGGTGTTTCCGGTAGATCCTTGCCCCATGACCCCAAAGGTGTGCGAAAAACCTATCTCTTAAATCAGGTTCAAGCTGCCTTTTTTGTAATATTTTTAGTCACAGAAAGAGCTCTTCGACATACCGTAGATTTGTGTTAGCCTTAGATTTCCTAAAATCACTGAGCGAACGAGTTTAGTAAAGTGTACAGCACGAGTCCCTTCACCCCAAATTTCGTCTCCCCTAGTTTTTCGCTTTTCCACGCGGATATTCTACATTTACAAAAGGGAATGTAGGCCTATCTTCGCCAGCGACGTCATGAAGTCCCGCCAATCACGCCGACCAACGAGTCAGTGCCAACTGATACCGTGTCTGAGTGAACTTGTAATTGAAAATGACCGGCAAGGAGTCTGGAAAGGGCTACTTTGTTGTACGTATTTTTAGAAAACAGGAATGTGAACCGCATCGATTCCCAGAAAAAGCACTCCAAGGAGCACGTGGTCCTCAACGTACCGAAGGGGAAGCGTGATGACGCCTGGTGGGCGGCTGCTTCAGCGCCTTTTGGGAAACTCAGGCCGGGCCAGAGACAGTGCCTCACCTTGCAATAATTGGGAAAATCCCTTGTTACCAGAGAGTTTTAGAGAGGTCATTTGGTTGTGCCTAGGAGCTCCTGATGACCGTGATTAGTCTGAATGAGTGAAACCAACGCGTTTGTGTGTTTTTTTCTCTGTGATCGTCACTAGAAATGCCCAGTTTTCCCTCAAATACGAAACAACATACTGAATCAAACAACTACAATCTAGTATTGGAAAGAAAGGACTCCACTTCCATACTCTAAGAACCACATGCTCATCCAAGAGCTTTTTCTGTGAATCCAATCAGTTTTCCATCCTACGTTGGAACCCTGAAAGAGTAACCCAGGTGGCACATTGGGTTAAGCTTGGGCTCTAGGGGGAAGGTTCAAACCCACCAGCATCTTGACGGACAACGATGAAGTAGTTTCCTTAGGTCAAGATTTACTGTCTGAGAAGCCATGGGAGGCAGTTCTACTCTGTCCTACAAGCGCCTCTGTGAGTCTCAGTCACCTCAATGGCAACGGGTTTAAGATGGTGGTTTTGGTTGGTGTTTTGGTTGAACTGAAACTAGTGGAAGAACAGTGTATTGTACTGGCCTCTTTGAGATACTTAAAATACTATAACAAACTTGTAATGTGTGTCCTCAGTTTATTTAAAAACTAATGTCTGGTGTGTCAGTTTCTTGGTTTTTATAATCTATGGTTACGGTGTCCTGGTGTGGCGCTGTGGGTTAAGGTGTCAGACTGCAAAGTCGTTTGGACTGCAAGGTCAGTGGTTCAAGTTCACCACCTGCTCCCTGTAACCCTATACAGGGTCGTTGACGGCGCTTAACAACAACAAATGGTTATGTAAGGTATCTTTGGGGAAAGCTGAGTAAATGATACAAGGGAACTCTACTAATTGTGAGTCTTTATTTCAAAATAGAGTAAAAAAAGCGATTTGATAATATGTTTCACTGAAGCATTTGACTTCAATGAAAGCATCACTTAATATTTGTAATGACGTGTTTAGTGCTCTCGACTCTGTTCTAACTCACAGTGACCCTGAACTTGATGTTCAAACTGACCTTGTGGTCAAGTGCTTATCCTACAGTGCCATGCCAGGAATCATAATGACTTGAGAGTAATATAATTAACTTATTTTTAAGAGTATTTCTTAGTGGAAAGTTCTTTCCTTTAAAGAGTTTCAACCATGCCTCTCCAATGGACTAATGGTGAAGTACTGATACCTTTTATAATACATTTTTACCCTCTAGGTCCTTGGTTATGGAACAAGCCTTGGTAGCATAGTTGATTACAAGCTGGGCTGGTAACTTTAAGGACAGCAGTTCGAATCTACCAGCCACTCCATGGGATAAAAATGAGGCTTTCTCCTCCCATAAAGGTTTACAGCCTTGGAAACATAGGGTCGCTGGCACACAACCATTATAACCTTGATTGTCGAGTCCCTGGGAAGTTAAGAACAACATGTTCTCCAACAGTGCTCTCTAATTCTAATAACTTAGTTTCCCTGTGCCCGCCCCCCTTGACGGTCATTTACAGAGGAGCAGAACTACAAGAATAATTCCACACCTTTGTGCTCATTTCTCACTCCCCACTGACTGTACCCTTTAATTACATCCAATAGATATGGATATTTTCACTAGTCCTACCTCCAACACAGGTGGAGGAACTAACCCAACACTTAATAGAAGTACCTGTTTAGCATTAAAACATCAAACTGTGATTTTGCTTTTCATTTTCATTTCCTTTTAAAAAAAAAAAAA